AATGAATACCAAGCATGAATGAAATTATTTCTCTGAAATTACTAATTTTAATTTCCCCCTCATATGTTAATTTTCTAAATTTGATTTGACAAGTTTGTAAACTAGTATGCAATATTCTGTTTTGTTGCCCTGTCTATAAATTTTAAAGAAATACGTGGAACCTTGAAGTACTTATCCATAAAAGGCAAGAAACTCTAATCGAAATGCATAAACTTACTGTGGATCCATCTGATTGTATCTAATGTCAGGTGGACCCTATCTGTATGGGGAAAAGAAGAAATCTGTTCCACTTTCATCAGCTAGAAGTCATGGAACTGTCCAGAGAAGAAGCAACTCATTCCTCCATCAAAGCATATCATGGGGGAACGTGGATCAACATTCACATCATACTCCCTTGTCAATACCCAACCTGGACAATTAATGATCCACTCCTCAGATCAAGTTCAGAGATGAATACTGGTCAAATGCCACCTGAGGCACATTGTACATATGGTAACTAGCAGCAGCATACCATGCATATATTCCTGATACCATCTCTTTCTCCCTCCTGCTGAGTATCTGGATCTCAGTTAAGGTCAGGCTATTTTGCCACATGAGCAGGAAGATTGGTAAGCTTTTCTTATTAACTCCATTGTGAATAAGGAGCTTTCAATCACTTGGCCCTTGTCTACTTACCTTGGCTCCAAACTTGTTTTGGGGTACACGGTCCCTTTAAGGTTCTTATAGTTACCTGTCAGTCAAATGGTGAGAACCCATCTCCAGCCCCACTTCTGTCTAGACATCAACAAAGGGCCTTCCTCAACAATAGTTGTTCTCAAGTATCTAAAGGATGTCACAAGGAGGAGGAAGAAAAAATGTTCTCCGTGGCCTCTGAGGATAGAACAAGGAGCAATGGGCTTAAATTGCAGCAGGGGAGGGTTACATTGGACATTAGGAAAAGCTTCCTGTCAGGGTGTTTAAACACTGGAATAAATTGCCTAGGGAGGTTGTAGAATCTCCATCTCTGGAGATATTTAAGAGCAGGTTAGATAGACATCTATCAGGGATGATCTAGACGGTACTGGGTCCTGCCGTGAGGGCAGGGGACTGGACTCAAGGACCTCTTCAGGTCCATTCCAGTTCAAGTGTTCTATGATTCTATTACTATTACCAGAATGGCCTGAAGTCAAGTTCTGTGTAGCTCGAAAGCTTGACTCTTTCACCACCAGATGTTTTACCTCCCGCTGCCTTCTTTCTAACATCCAGGGACCAGCATGGCCACAATGCTGTAAATACAAATCATCTGACATTTATGTCTGACTGCAATAATGAAGAGAAGAAAGAGTTAACAGCAAGGGACCCTTTTGCTGCTTAGGAAGCACTGGCTCCTAAGAGGAGTCATAGGGCTCCTTAGAAAGCATGTCACGCAAGCAGCTTAGCTAAGGATTTGGGCCATGATTCAAAAATGACTGTAAAATAATGTTAACATTAACAATGTCCTCTATTTGTTTCTCTGCACATCTCTATCTTTACTCTATTTTTCTTCCTTCCTCTGCTTTTATAAGTGGCAGATTAAAACTAGCAAACAATCCACATAGCAATTTTGTGTTTGTCAACATTAACAAAAAAGGATAAGTAACAGAAGTCATTCCATGATTATTTTGCTTGTGAGGGTAACAGGAAAGTACACAAGGGATATTTATATGTAACAGGGAACTTACTAATCATCTACTGCCACCACATATAAACACTTATAACCGTCATGGTTTCTAGACTCTGCTCAATCAGTAAGATCTGAATATAATCTAGTTTGTATTTCCTGTTTGGGAGAGAAAGCAGTTAACATTCACAGGATACTGTATCCTCTCCTTATTTATGTCTGTTCTTGAATAAAGTTGGTAGATGCAAGAGAAAAATAAATTTTAAATTCAACATGGAAGAAAGCATATTTTCAGCTGCCATGAAGTCATTCTTCCATTGAAATTAGTGTAATAATGACAATTTACTCCATCTGAAGAGGTGCCCCAAGAACTTCAACAATGTGTCTTCTTTTTGTTTCTCGAGTACGCTTTCATCCACTCTCTAATTGCAATAGCTTTCAGTCCTACTAAAAGCACCTCCATGACACAGACCTTGCTGTGCTGCAACACAAAAGGAAGTCCTCTCAATTTAGATATCAGTGTCTCTAATAAACATAAAAGTTCAAGTTTCCACTTTTAACAGCCTAACAAGTTCAAACGCACCAAGTGCCCTCCTCAGTTAACTCACCTCACCACTAAGTTGTATTTGACTGCAATGGCAGTAACTATCACTGCAAATTGCCAGCTCTGGTATTTATTTCAACTATTAATTTAATATTTTTGCTACACTAGACTGAAGAAAATAGCAGGCTCACTGAGAAACAAGAAATAAAGAAATCCCATACGGTATTTAAAAATAACAAAGAATGCTAAGAGACTTTATTGTGACATAATAGCTCACTGGAAATGTTGATAACCTTACAATTTGGCTTCTGACTGTTAACCTCCAGGAATCATTATTTCCCTAGGAAATGTCTCAGGGCATTATTAATAAATTCATTTTAAAACTAAAGGTTGTAACTACAATAATTATTTTAACATCTCTTTACACAGCACTATTACTCTCCAAAGAGCTGGTGATATAAGTGTTTAATTTCCTTTCCATATTACACATGGAGGCAGAAAATTTGCATCTTTCACTGCCTGAGTAGAGGCAGAAAATAACTATGTGCTGATAACCAAACTTTTACAGACAATGTGACCCAACACTAATATTTCTGTTAACTGGGCTGAGTTCTGGACATCAAAGACTGTCTTCTCTGAGTATGGATTAGTCTCACTATGCAAATTAAAATTTAAAAGTCATCTACACATATATAGACATTCTTACAGTAATCACTAATTCAGCTATAAATTTATATAGCTTGAGCCTGACCCACAGTCCACTGCAGTTTTTCCATTAAATTACCTTCGTTTTGGGTCAGGTCCCTTATGAATAAAATACATTCATTAGAAGTCGAGAGGTACTTATGCACTCACCAATGTAGAAGTGCCTCCAATTAAATATATTTAGCCTTGACAGTTAGTTGTATAAACTGAAGCATTTTTAATGTTTTGATAATTCCTTGGATTTAAATAAGATTTGTGACCTCAGCTCAAAGAAAATCAAATGCTGGGTCCAACTCAAAGTTGAAAAGCTCAAAAATTTTCACTATGTTGTCAGCACAAGTAATCCAAGTTCTTCTTTCCTTCTCTTCCTTTTTTCTTTTGATGCGTGAACATGGAAGATGGGTGAGAGAGAAACACACTACAGTATTCAGTTCCCACCTGCAACTCCCACCATATCCAGAATAACACTAGTTTACTTGTAGTCAAGTAAATGTCACAAAACTAGCAAAATTGGGGACCTTATTTGGGACCTCAACTTTTACAAGCTACTAGCTAAATGAATTAGGCCTGACCTGCAAACATTTAAACACGTGCGCACATTTATTTTCCATGAGTCCCACTACAATTCATTCAATGTGCACAGTCATATATTTGTTTTCAGAATCAAACAATGTGAATGGATAAGTCCCCATCATATTATCAAATGGAAAAATACCAGAAACTGTCCACCAATAAATTTGCATTACAAAACAGCTCCCTGTAAGATACCTACACAAATCAGTAGCCTAACAAATATTTCATAAACAACAGTTGTCCTGAATTCCACAGAAGTATCCCAAAGTATTATTTTCTCCATTATTAAATCACTTCAGTAAGATGGGTAACTGATATAAAATCTGCAAATAACTTCCCACCTCTATATGAAAGGAGAAAGAGGTCCTGAAATTCTTCTGATTTTTGGCAACGTAAGGCCTATATAAGAAAGAAGGTGAACTAAAATGGCTAGTTTATAGATTAATAAAATAAAGTTGGTTTCACCCAAAATGTTTTGACGCACATAACTAACAAGCATCACTTAAAATAACTGTATACACATATTTAAAATAGGTCTCATCCTTATTAGGTTAAATATCACTAGCCATTCTTTGAGATTAAAAATTTATTTTAGTTTAACACTTAGCAAGATACTCCACAATGTCCGACATTTAATGAAGAAAGCACTTCATCAGTATCAATCACACTATATTTCTTTCATAGTAAAAATGACAAAGAATTAATATACTGTAATGTTTAATGCAGAAAATAAATTTTAATCCAGTAAGATTTTATTTCCCATTGTAGCATTGTTGTTTTATCAGAATGCCTGTAAAATTTCATTATTTTAATAGTTATTTGTTTACTGCATTATAACAATTTATAATGTAATTTGATTTTTTTTAAATTACAAAAACAACTTAGTTTTTGCATTTGCTTCTCATTCTTCATTTTTGACTGTTTGGTTGCAGTTTACCTTTGGTAAAGCATTTGCACATCAATATACTTAAACTCTCCCTTTAATAATAATTACTAGAGAACAATAGCACCACTGACATAATCGTCTTGCCAGATATGCATATTTCAGGAGGCTGCTCTACCAAGAATAAATAAGCACAGTGCAAAAGTGCATCTCCATTGGAACATGCCAGCAGAGAAAGAAATGCAGAGTCTTCTGATCAGATCAGTAAACAGCCTCTCATTAAGGAATGTAAAAAGACCAGGGGACTTCTTAAGATAGCAAACAACTGATGATGTTAAAGTCCTGCTGACTGCAAGGGCATGTCAATTTCCTCTAAGGGAAAATGGGCTAATCTGAATAATAACTCATCGACTGAAATTAAGTTGTGAAATTTGCAAGGACAGACAGACTGCATGTTCTCCAGCAGGCAACAATCCGATGGATTCCCCAACGAGAGAGAAGGAAATCCGTGACATGACGATAGAGAATCACATGCAGCTTCTGCTATATCATCTCCCCAATGCTTCCTAAGCATCAGAGATGCTACTCGCTGTTCTCAGATTCTCAGTAAATGGAGCAACGATCACCCAACTTTAAAGTTACACGATGTAACATACCTACTGCTGTAATGCCAAGGCTGAACTTGGACATATTCTACCTGGGTTCTCTCACTCACTTCACTCACACACCCCGTTGCAAGGAAGGAGGACGGACACAGCCAGACACCCCTCGGAGCTGCATCCACCACAGCCACCTCTCTGGCCGCCCCAGCATCGGGGTGCGCGGAGGCAGGGCTGGGTTGGGCTGCGCGTGGCTATACTGCTGTCTCAGGAGCTGCGGTCCATCTCCGGCAGCTCTGATGCAAAGTAATCGCCCCCCACCCCCCCAAAAAAAAACCCCAATTCCCGCTGCGGTTTAGCGAGGCTTATTAAAGAGCCGGCTGCTGCCAGGGGCATTGCTCAGTCCCAGCACAGTCCGGCCAAATGCCCGGAGCCCCCGCTCCTCCCAGCCCGCCCGGCTCCCGGCCCCCGGGCACCCTTG